AAAGCAAAGATTAAGGCACCTTTTAATTTTGCATTTTTCTAATGAGCTTCTATGTACAGGGACAAAAGCTTTTCAAGGAAATTTTGTATTGCATAGGGTGCTGCAGAAATTGGTTGGATATTGTAACGGTGAAGGACATATATAATTCGTATGAAAATCAGTAAGTTCATCTAAGTCCTTCAGATATATAATACGAACAACCCACAGGTAGTTTATGTCTCTGTACAGAGCAGTGTTGCATTTCCAGAAAGTGTGAACAAAAGACCAGGAATAAAAGTGGATCTCCTGGCAGCATATCTCCACATCTCTTTATTTCCCTGTCTTAATATTTAAATCTTATTGCCAATTAAGCTAGCTGCATGAGAATCCATCAAAAAGCTCCAGAAGTGCTTCAGCTTCCTACATCTAATTACAAATCACGCAATACTAATTTTGGTGTCAATCAATACATGTACAAGTATGCCTCAGTAACACTCACTGGGGGGCACAGATTATCAATACCTCTGCTTCGTATCCAGGGCTTGCTCATGCATGTGGTCTCCCCTCTCCTGAAAGGGGAAAAAACCCAACAGCAAACAACACCTCCAGCTCAGGGTATTTTTACAGGATTCTATGAACACTGGAATTTATGTCTCACAATGACAGTGCTACTGAATTTATGTTATGAGTATGTTCTAATTCATACCCTAATGACTATTCAGTTGTGGATTGAAATTTCTTTTCATTTTCCCTGCTCTGTTCTCCCATTGATAACAGACATGAGAATTGGGGCCCTGAAGGGAGCTAGGAACAGGGATCAAGTCTGATTATCTTGCTGCATCATGTGTCTTCATAATTTGCACGTATTTTATGAGAACAGTTCTATATCAGCCTATTTCATGGCATGTATTACTGAGGAATCAGGACTGTAGAGTATGAACACCATGAGTTTTGAACCATTTCTGCATTTGTCCTTTAGCTGAAAAGACCTTTCCTCTCCTTTCCTAAACCAGCTTAATACTGCCAAAGGCATTTTCATATCTGCAAGACCCGTGAGTTCTTATGATGTCACACTGTGTGCAGAATTCATAAAGACATTCCAACCTTCATAATTCATGTGTTCCTTGATTAGCAATTTGTTGTCAGTTGGTTGTTTTCAGCAATAACATGAAACTCCTTTGACAAGAGGAGTCCTCAAGTCCGAGAGCAGTTGCAGCTAATACTGTGTTCCCTTGTTGTGTGGCAGCTTTTTCAAAGCAAGTTGTTGTTACAGCACTTAAAAGTGCAGTGGGGTGGTTTTTTTCAAACTTTCAAATGGTCAGAAAAATCCTCAGTGTCAAATACAAGGAGTCAGCAAGTTTTGCAGAACCAGGCTCTTGTCATGGGTCATTTAATTTGTCTGGAGGAAGGCGCTTCTCTTTTTTTTCTAGCACACTTAAAGGAACTTCAATCAGTGGCAGACAAATATCTTTAAACAGTCTTCCCATTGTAAATATATTGGATTTGGATATTAAGGCTTTCCTTTGGTGAGAATTAAGCAAATGCTTTGTCTGCCAGAGAGCCACAGAGTACCCCATTGTGTCCACTTTTCCAGCATATATATCTTTGCACAGCTGATGATGTCCATTTGTTACGAGGCAACAGCTGTCTGACTGCCCCTTCAATGAAACTGCTGTTCCAGGTAGAGACAGCTGGTCTGCCACCAGGTATGGCCAACACAGGAGAGATACTCTCCAAAAGGTCACTACTCTGGTGGTAAATCTGACTTTTGCCCACTGGAAATGATTTTGTATCCTTGCCTGAAAGATGCCATCGGGTGCTGTGCTACTGTTTTGTGTTGGAGGCTGTGCTGTTTCTCCTGGAGCATCATGTTTCTCAGGCAGTGTTATGAGAATGATCCTATTATACTTAGAGTGGAAACCTAGTAATGAATGTCGGGGAATTTAATGGTTTCATCACCTTAATATTTGTAACCATAGATAGCTATTTTGTGGTAAAAACTGTTTCAGACACATTTCTTTTCAAATAGATACAGGAAAATGATAACCTCTTCTTTCCATGTCCTCCCAAAATGTCTGTATGTTATATGATGTTACATTTATTTATATATAAATACACAGAACCCTTCACTTGTGGTTTGGGAGGTAAAACCATCTCATGCATAGTGTGCAAGATGGTTTATTCAGCCTATCTGTAACAGCATTTTGTTCTCTGGAAAGAAAACATATTTATGTCGTGTTTAGCCCTGAATTGTTTAACCTTTCCTCCCCTCCTGGCAGCTGTCACCCCATGTCTGGGGAATGCTCCTGCAAGCCTGGCTGGTCTGGGCTCTACTGTAACGAGACGTGTTCCCCGGGATTCTACGGAGAGTCGTGTCAGCAGATCTGCAGCTGCCAAAACGGTGCTGACTGTGACAGTGTGACTGGAAAATGCACCTGTGCCCCTGGATTTAAGGTGAATAAGTCTCACTTTCACAACCCATTTTCAACTCCACTCCCTTTAGCTAAGTGCCAAATTCTTCAAGTTGCCAGAGTGTGCTGTCTCCACTGTAAAGAAAGAGGAGTGAGGGTGTTGAGGTATCACTGCCTGTGTTGTAAGGTAAGATCCTGAAAAGGCAAAGTTTCTAGTTGGTACTCAGTACTAAAATGAAGCCATTTTTAGAAAGAGATGTTGATAAGAATGAGGGTGTGCTGATGAGGAATAAATAAAGGGAGTATTTATAGGTTTCAGTCATTATCTTGTTGGACCAACTCCTCATGCTCTATCCACAGAAGCTCTAGACAAAAACATTTGGGTTTACAGGACAGATTATTCTGCAGCTTTTACACGTTTGCTGTTACCTGTGCATTGGATAGTAAGCTGACATATAAAACATTTTACAGTATGACTGTTCTCCTAGAAGTAACAACTGAAAACTCATTACTTCTTTAAAATATTTTACATAACCACATTTTCCATTAAACTGCTTTCTTACTGTGTTTTGGTTTCATAAAGGGTTTCTTTATTACTTTCCATTGATCTAACCAACAGCTGTTACCTATGTGACCTGAGCTCTCACAGCAAATCATAGAAAACCAATATTTACTTTAAAAGATTGAAAAAGCATGAAGGACTCCCTTAAATTCAGGATAATTTAGGGACAGCCTCAGAGACTCATGGGCTGTATGCTTTCTGGCTTCTGTAGCACTTGAGTCAGTCTTGGTCATTTATTGGTTGTCTGAACCTCCTCAAATAGTTTTTGTACTCTATTTTATATAATTTAGGGTGTTTCTTGTGGTACTCCTTGTCTTCCTGGGACATATGGAATAAACTGCTCATCTGTGTGCAACTGCAAAAACGAAGCCATGTGCTCCCCAGTAGATGGTTCCTGTGCCTGCAAAGCAGGTAAGTGTCTCCTCAGGTGAATTCTGTTTCTCTGTAATCATAAAATGAGACTGAATTTTTGAAGTAGAGAAGAGGAAACTTAATAAAAAGAATGCCTTGAAGGCCTTGTCACTAGATACCTTATGCTTTACTCCTCTGGGAGGCAAAAAGTAGGGAAACCTCTACTCAGAGGAGCTCTGTGGTCTGCTAGGAGGACTATTGGTGTGTCATTTATCTGATGTCTTAGTCAAAATAATATAGAACCATAGAGTCATAGACTGGTTTGGGTTGGAAGGGACCTTAAGCATCATCTGGTTTCAATCCCTCCGCCATGGGCAGAGACACCTTGCATTAGACCAAGTTCCTCCAAGCCCTCTCCAACCAGGCCTTGAGCACTTCAGGGGTTGGACATGTGCAACTTCTCTGGTCATTTATGTCCAGTCACCCTCACAGCAAAGAATTTCTTCCTCATATCTAATCTAAACCTACTCTGTCAGTTTGAAGCCATTGCCCTTGTACTGTCACTACATGCCCCTGTAAAAAGTTCATCTTCAGCTCACTTGTAGCCTCTTTATACAGTGGAATGTGTTCTAAGGTCTCCCTGGAGCCTTCTCTTCACTAGGCTGAACACTCCCAGCTCTCTCTGCCAGTATCCATAGCTGAAGGGATCCAGCCCCCTGATCATCTCTGTGGCTCTCTGGACTTGCTCCAATACTTCCACATCCTTCTTATGTCAGGCACCCCAGAGCTGGATGCAGCACTCCAGGTGGGGTCTCACTAAATCAGAGCAGAGGGGCAGAATCCCCTCCCTGGACCTGCTGCCTGCTCTGCTTTGGATGCAGCCCAGGACATGGTTGGCTTTCTGGGCTGCAAGAGCACACTGCCAGCTCATGTCATCCACCAACACCCCCAAATCCTTCTCTTCAGGCTCAAAATATGTAGCTCTGTTTCCCCTCTGTGTGCACCACCTCTGACTGCCACCCTTGCCCCTCTCAGCATCACAGGCTAATTCCTGTCAGTTTAGCTCTGACATTGATATCATAGAATCATAGATTTTAGGGGTTAGAATGGACCTTATAGATTATCTAGTCCCAACCCTCCCTGCCCTGAGCAGGTACATCTCCTCACTAGATCAGGCTGCTCACGGCTCAT